TTATAAGATATATAAAGGATTTTGGATATTTGTGTGAAACAATAGCGTGACCCTTATTTTTATTTGTGTTTAACCCTCAGTTATATAAGTGAGTTGCAGTGTTTCACGGTCATTACTTGTTCGATTGTATATGTATATTCATTAGTTCCCAACTTATCGGATGGCTACACCCGTCGCTATTTGACTAAAATATACAGACTCTTATAAGATAAATAAAGGATTTTGGATATTTGTGTCTTGAAAGCGAACCACAAGCCTCTAAATGTAATCAGCGAATATGGAAACATTTGACATTGTTTCACAACTGCGTTATTCAACACAGTCTAAAATTGAACATCAATACTTAAATAGTTATCACCATGTAGTGGTAAATTGTTTTAAATTGTTAATTAAATAAATAAAAAGAAATGAAATTTAACTTTATATATGTGTTAAAGGGTGTTGGGTGCTAATCGTCCTTCATGGCAGCATAGGTGCTGAATTGCGAAAGACGCAGCTCGACGCGCTCTCAAGTCGAAGTGCTATATTACAGACACATTTTACAGACACTTACACATAGGCGTGCTGCCGGCTAGGCGCTTCCTTTACATAGCAACGAACGACTGAACGCGGAGCACAGCAGATAGAAATGGTTCGTTTTTACTGAGGGAGGAAAACCCGGAAAAACCCGGAAAAACCCTCGACGCAAGGGAGAGAACGAAAGAAACTCAAATCACATATGGCGCCCCGACCGAGATTCGAACAGGGTCCACAGAGGTGATAGGCCAGCGCTCTCACCGCTCGGCCACCCATGCGTCCCACATGCTGTTACACCCTTTTAGGATATGTAACAGTATTCAAGGAATATTTCAGCTTATTTCTATACACTTGCTTACTTTAATGCAACTCTTTGTCCTTAATCATATGATGCGATCTAGACAGACAAATGATACGATAGTTTCCTATGAAATATGATCAAAATACTTATAAAATGCTTTTAATTCTTCAAATAGTTTAATTTTATTAAGAAACTCAGAAAACCTCCTTAAACAGTCGATGTTACGAAATAAAGTAACTGTAATAGTTGCTTCGCAAAATAACTGTGATATAATTATTAATTCTTCCTTTTATAAAGCTAATATTTCATYGCGTGAGAGTCGTATCTGTCTTTACGGTCTGTAGGTCCCAGCGCTAGTTGTACAGTTAACTGGTTCAAAACTTACTTTAATTATATCACAAACACCTTACTATAAGCATCAATGTACTCAACTTACCGGTCTGTTGTTATTTTGCACYAATTCCTAAAGTTTTTACATCTTTGCCGGGGAATCGTAGTTGACGCACCCAAACCAGACTGTGTCTCAATGTAAGGGAAGTATTTGCAAGTAAGCATTTATCAAAGGGTGTGATCAACCAATGGCTGACGCAGCTCAAATCGAGGCTTCGCTATTATGTGATTTATGAATTCAAAATACATGRGGGTTCCCCATCGTTGTTTACTTCACCCAAGCGTAAATACAAAAGTCTACTGAATATTTCAATAAGTATTTCAAAATAAAAACTTTTTATCAAAACATTCTAAGCTTAATTACTCGTGACCAGGCCCTAGGCCGGGTCACGAGTCAGAAAATGCAACGCGTATAGTTTTTTTTTTTTTTTTCTATGTGAGACCTTTGTCTTCGGGCTGACCTTTGCGTCCCGAACGCATATCACACATTATGAACTCGCGGCTGTACCTTTGCCCCCGATCGCACTCCGATCTCTAAACGAAATATCATATTACGAACTCGGCTGTAAACAAGCGTATCATAGAACAGCAAAACTGCTCGGGATTTACTGTGGCTTTTATACTCATCATTCCTGTTACGCCTAGGTGGCATGTAGGGCCGCGCTTTTATACTAACGAGATATATATCGATACTTCGTAGATAAGTGAAGCCCGTGGATGTCTCATACAGCACGCAGTTTGAATTGAGGAAATATTCTTCAAAACTCGGAATTATCGACTGTTGAGGTCAGACTCTGCCGCTTATTACTCATCTGAGCATTTGGGATAGCGGAAAGTTTTCTGTTAAAGGCGAAGAGATCTCAAGTTATACGATCGACAGCTCTTCTATAATGTGAACCAGTACTCTAAACAATCGTATCATAGAACAGCAATAACTGCCCGTGATTTACTGTAGTTTTTTAGTAATTCTTTGATATTCGAGGCCTTTTGTTATTCCAAAACATTCATCTGTGTAAGAGCATGTATTAGGACATTGGTTTAGGGTCATAAAGGTTGGTATATCGAGCCAAATAGTTCATTTTCCTTGGCGAGATATAAACCGATTCGAACCGAAACTTCGTAGCTGACTACCTGGCTGTCTGATTCGKAGTTGCATAGCCTATATTTTCTATTTTGATGAGGGATTCTGTCTCTTCTGGTTAAAGAAAACAATGCTATTCACAGATGAGTATTCCTAGATGGAGATCGTTTAAGCGATCATGCATGGTTATAGAGCGGGCCCTTCCTGTTTGCGAAGATCGCTCGCCACACGGCTCCGAGCTGTCTGATTTTGATACTGTAGTATACTTGACCTTAAATTACTACAATATTCTTACTAGACTATCAGAGTTAACGATTTGATTCTACGCTTTTAAAGATTTGTCAAAAATTATTGTATATCTAGTTCCTTCAAAAGCTGCTAAATATTACATGAAAAGTAATCAACAAGGAGTTACTTTCACAAATATTTTCTCTTAATATAGTTTGATTTCAAATCACTTTGTGATTTATAAGTATAGATGAGCTGCATGCCTTTAGTAGCACTATTCTTTACATCTAAACCAGACCCTCCTTAGARCGTCAACTCGGTCGAACTATTTTTGAAAATTGAGAAAGACAGTATATTACATGGTTGGTCAAATACAAGAAAAGTTTTAAATGAGCTCATTTTGAAAAAGTACTGAATAAGACAGCACTTTTCAACACCTTTAGGGCACGAGTACACCCTGCTATCAGGGTCTAGTTCTTCAATTAAAGTTCTATTTACATTTTAGATTATAATAGTATAATATCCTTCTACATACAGTTTAGATAATAAAAAAAATTAAAATAAAAAGAAAAAAAATTTTACACGGAACACATACAACTAAAAAATGGTGCGACGTTTTGAATGAAATTTGTACACTTTTTAAACTAATTTTCTTCTATATTTTCTATGTTTTTCGTCTTGTAATGTGGTCATACATGACGACTTGTGTGTATTTTGGTGTAACGATCGTTATTCGTGCAGAATTATCGCCTGGTGTTGGAGCTTTTGGGTCGACATTTAATATTTTTCTGTCTCTTTTATTTTTAAACAGCAATCCAGTGGAGTTTTCGGCGATAACCTAAAATAAAACAAAAATACCATTTAAAAGTGTTTAACATGAATATATTACACTATAAAGAAACCATGTTTTCGGCTGGTATACATTTAATACGAGGTATAACGGTTTTGGCGCGCAGGGAATCAGTATAGAAAACGTCTATCCCAATTTCACCAGTGAATACATAAATCTAACGCTACTACTCGTCTTTCTATACTTAAATCGGCGACAAAAAAATCATCGAGTAAAAGAAAGAAAAGCTTAAATAGATATCGCGAGTTATATTATTAAGTACCTGGTAATTTGGTGTCGGATTCGATGTCGCAGTTTGCGTTTCCCAATTGTAAAAGCTGAAAAAAAATCATATTTAGCATCACTTTAACCTTATTTATAACCAAATAATTTATTAATAGATGTTGWCGATTGTTTATACGCAACAATTTATACACTTTATTCTGAAAGTAATTTTCCAGTAATTTAACCGCTGTTTACCGACTCCTTTTACAAAATCATTCAAAGATGAACAAATGAAAACCGTCTCATTTCCGTATCATATGAAAGTTAATAAAAAACAGGAATTCTATAATTTACATATATCTTTAATGTAAATAAGCATTTCACATTTATTTGACAACAATATCTATATGTTGGAGTCAATACGGTTTCGGAATTTCATCGTTGATGTCCCCCAGTTTCATAGCTGTCAAAAAATATCGCGCGCGCGCAAAAAAAAAGAAGAAGAAGAAAACACTCCCTTTTTCATACTTTAGCTTTTCATTTATTAACTTTATCTTACTTAAGTTGCAGCTAACGGTAAATTAAAGGGTTTGACCTTCTATATACGAAATATTGGCTCTTTTTTGGAGCAGATAGCGTCGCCATGACGCGAATGMAATCTCTAGAAGAAATGGCGTTTTAATTCCAGTTGCTAAATACTGTACTTGTATATTGATTGCCTTATAACGGCTTGACTGACATTATCGGAAGACAACCGTCTGGTATATCTGTAAACATAGGATATGAGCTTTTCGCTGGCGATAAAAAATGTCTTCGTATCTTTTTAATCAAAACTGAAAAGTATTTTTAATTCAGGAAAATCTAGCCTTATGTTTATCTCAACGGAAAGAGAAATACCCGCCTAAATATGGAAAGCAAATACAGTAAACAATTCTAATTTTTATAATAATGAAGTTTAACGGAATCTTCCTTAATAGTGTCAAAAAACTGTCTAAGATTAATCCGGTTTACGACAGTTTACGGTAAATTTCTAGATATTAAAATTGTCAAATGAAGATTGGTCTATTGTCAAGTACAAGAGCAGGTTTATTCAAGATTTGGACGCAGAGAAGATAAGARAATAAACTCAGGAAGCAATGAGAAAATAAAGCGGAACAAATTGTCTTAAATCTGCCAAATATTAATGAAGAAACTCAATCAAAGAACGCTTGTGTGAGAGGAAATTGAAAACGAAGAGAATTTAATTCTATTGATGTGAAAATAGACAAAAAACAAGGAGGCAAGGAAAGAGGAAAGATAACGGAGAGGAGATGCTAGAAGCGATAAGAGGAAGATGCAAGAGCTTTAAATGATAGAGAAGAGAAATGGAAAAGAAAAAAGGAATCAATGAAGGAAAGCAAGGAAAGAAAAATACACTATCCAAAATAAACGAAAAATTCTAAAAGTGAAAGAAGATAAGAATGCGAAGGCAAAAAAATAAACGTTTGACAAGGATACAGAAGAGAGAAAAAAAAATCTTCCTTTAATTATCATTATAAAGAAACAGTCTGGTTTGAACACTTGTTATAATTTGTACAAAATATAATTATATAAAATTCTTGGATATCGTAGAGTTAGTCTTTCATTACAAAAAAAGAATATATCATTCACATGGTAAAATTATATAAATGTTTAGCTAAGGGGAATTTTAATTTAAAGCAGTTTCTCTCATATGGTAGCTAGAAGTCAGACTAACAAACCCCAATGAAGATAAGTTTGATTGATCATATGAACTTGTGATCTATAAACATACTCCATCTAACATTAGTTCTTACCTTAAATCAGACACTCGAGGGAGGAGCCKCCGYCGTCCTGAAAAATATGGCTCAAAATCCTCTGTCTGGAAATATCAAAAATAYAAATTCATAACTTTGAGAAAAAAWGAATTTGTACACATGGTTGGGACAAACRAATTTGAGATTATCAGAGAATGTGACAGCTRACTAACTCTGTAGTCAAAATTGGAGGGTCAATTGACATTCAATGCAGTGTTGTGTTTTTAGACTTTTCACAGTATACTTTTATTATGATGTATTTTCATTTTCAAGCAAAGCAAAATGTTGAAAAGGATGCCAAAGGACTATGTCAATAGGTAGAGTCACCAAGCTGTGGTATTTGAAATCTTACCTTCAGTCTATGTGCATAGTCTATATATCCAGAAATTTCCTATCAMACATAAAAATATTATCATTAACATGTTAAGCTGCAAACGGRCTGAGTTTATTTTTTCCAAAGGGGAGGAAAACACCATGAAAAAAATAAAACATTCTTTGATGGAAATCAGAGAAAAACCTCTTTTTGTGTGTGTGAAATATTTTCAAAGTTTGAAATTTTTCGATAAATTGGCTATGACCACGAAATCTACCATTTGGGGCCTCAGCTGAGCCTGTTTCAACATTTACTAATGAGCCAACATTCTCACAATGCTTGATATATTATGTCGACTAGAATTGTTCTCAGCCATTAAGACTGTAATTTATAATACAATATTGCCATTTAAATACCTGTCCTTTTGAATTTTTGTCCCTGATAAAGATTATTGACTGAAAATAAAATATAGATTGAATCATTTAACAACAATAGCAACTTAATAACTCAGACTTGAATTCACTTAATCAGACTGAAATACGTTCAGCCAATCAGCATCAAGTATCACATGTCAGGGGTGGATCTAGACTAGTGCCACTAGTTCCATGGAACTAGTCAAAGTATTTTAAAAGTAAAAGAATTCAATGTTTTCTAAATATATTATCGTCAAAAAATGCGTTTAAAAACGTATTTTTATAGATTTTTTTAACGATAATTGCCACTGCCACAGGGATCCTCTGCAGCATATTCATATGATTCAAAATTTGTGCGTTGGGTAGAGTCCCACGGGAATATTGCTTTCAAATGATATGTTGTCACGCAGTTGCCCCGATATTAGCATATGGCACTGCTCAAACGTGCATCCTATTGGTTTGCACTAGTCAGCTTTGTTTTCTCATGTTTTCTGGCACTAGTCAAAGTCGATTTTCATTGGCTACTTGTATGGCTGGCACTAGTCGGCACTGGTAGGAAAGATCGAGCTAGCGTGACACCAGAATGTATTTCACAAGACACTCGAGAATATTAAACCTATACAGTCAGAATTACAAAACATGGCTTGAAATATAAATCGTGGAGATCCAGCTGGCAAAAGGTTCGACTTCTTATTTGATTTAGGTGTTTTGTTTAACGATCTTCTGATTAAAAACAAATCACAAACGTGTGGAAACCGGCCGACAGCGCGACAGAGTTACAAACTCTGCCGGCCGATAACGCGTTTGTATTCCCTGAGTCAAAAGAAGTTAGAAGARCTAGATGATCCAATCCTGTATTGATAAAGTCCGGCTAAAGAATGTTTCGTGGTTGGCTTATTCAGAATATCTCGATGGACAACCGTCTTTCAATGCCTCGAAGGTCATTCAAATGGTATAAAATGTCAAACACACAAATACGAAGTATGAGACAAGAAGTAGTATGCCTTTCGATCAGCAGCTAGTACGTTGCTAAAGCAACAAATAGCCAATAATAGAGAGATAATCGCGTCATTATTCAAGACTATACTGATTTTTGTGCATGRGCGCAATTATATTCCCCTACACGGCCGAAGAGTCGATAATCCGTAGTGTAATACAGTTAATTTAGAGTTTCAAAATTTACATGTTTGTATTCCTAAAAAAACCGTAATTTTGCAATTATGGTATATGGGGTATGGTTGGTTTGAAGGATGGCACTAGTCAACAAAAATCCTAGATCCACCCCTGCATGTCTTCTATGAAGCCAAGTAAGATGAAAAGCAAACCTTCCATGCTTGACTGAAAGGCCCAGTAAAAACCCAGTATTGCCTTGATGATTTGCCCGTTTGTAGTCATATTTTGACAACTATTTCGTGGTATTTAAAGTAACCTTTATGAACTTGCAGTATAACTTTCAATAAAGCAAAAATTATGTGTGCAAATCACTGCAGACAACTCTGACTAGTTTCTGAACCAATCAGAAACAGAATGAAGCACCCCTTTTCAAAACAAATACAAGTGGTCACAAAGCATCCAGGGTAATACTGGGGCTTTAAACAGCAGAGAGAGGACTTAATCTTGAGTATCAATTCACAATAGTTGCAACAAATCTACCGCCTAAAATAGCACTTTCCCCTACACTAGCACTTTTTAAAGCCTCAGTGACTGACCTCATAAGAGTTTAGATATCTTTATTCTTATTTTTCTTTTCTTTTTACTGTTATTATTTTATGTTACAGTCCATAATATTCAGTAATGAATGCGTGACTTATTTGGTAAATAAATAAATAAATAAATAAAACTCACTGTCATTTTTCCACTACGATTTGCTTCCTCTCTCTCAGCCAACGCTTTGAGAAAAGTATCTTTAATATCCTTTCCAGAGCTGGCCAAGGTCCTTGAAGAGAAAAGAGATAAATCTATTCAGTAATTTGTGGATTCTACTCTAAATTGGGTAATTTATATGTATGTATCTATTTGATTTTTTTTATCTACCTGACCTGTTTGATGTCTTAGGATGTTGACATCTTGTACAATGTACAAGATTTTTGTGAATTATTGTGTTAAAATTAACACTTACTTTTGCTGGCTTCGTTTAGATAATCTACTTGCTTCAGCAGCTTCCTTTCTTGCTTCAAATTCTTCTCTTTTGAGAACCTTATCAATACAAAGGATAAGCTTWATATACAAATTATCACTCAAAGATTGAACCTAGTTCAAACCAATATTAGTTGATGCACGTAATTCACCTGGCATCATTCATCTCCACTGAGCCTACCTTTTTGTGATTTCAATACTAAGGAGTTGTATGTAATCTGAAGGAACTGTAACCTATATAACCTTAAAAAATACTACCGCAACCAGTAGCCCATAATGGGCTCCTGCCACAACTTACCTCTCCACTACCACGATACCCAAGTTCAACTAGTTGTCTTGCAAGATCTTCATCCTGAAAGGCAATTCGAGTTTACCATTAAAACAAAACAAATTGACCTTTTCAACTATTGTTGTTTGTTATTTAGGTCAATAAACTACAAAACATAATGAAATTATGATCATGTGTTCGATTCTGCTCACAGATTAGTCGTTCCATTTCATCATTTTATGCCCAAAATTACGCGAATCTTTTCTAAAAATTTTACTTTGAAGAGCACAGGACATACCTCTAAGTAGTAAAGATCTAAAGGCGTTATTTGGCTGTCTAGAAAGTCTTCATAAGTATTGAATTCTGTGACAATATTGTCAGTGGCTCCAACTGCCTCTTCGTCCATCTTGATTTTGGCTGGTTGCTATGCGACTATCGAAAGTCATAAACTTGTACCCAGTCTTATCGCATGTGTAAAAACAGGAACCCCACACAGGGAAGGAAGATTTTTTWAAATAAAAGTAAACCATTTTTGAGGAGTAAAATTTTATTTCTAACAATATTCTAACAGGATAATTAAGTTATCAGCCTGTCGACTATTTTAATTGTAAAGCTTCTCGCATTGAAAAGGCAAAATAGTGTGTTAAACATAGAGGACGACATTATGTTATGAGTTTTCAAAGCATTTCCGTATTTACACGGGGCCAAAGTCGAGCCTCGTTATTCCTTAATTAACAATTAACAGTTTTGCTCTGTGGGCGACTCCCATGACAATATTTTCCAGGAACTTCTGAAGTATACTTTTTGTCTTGGTAACTAGGAGGCCCGTTTACGACACTGGTGGAACGGCATAGGGCTTTCAAGGTTTTCGTTCCATCGATGCACTGTAAAATAAATTCAGTCCTCTGAAAATAAGCCAGCATTCTGTGTGGAAGAAAATCATGTCGTTACTGACAGCAGCTTCASTTACCTCGATTTTCTGTTCATCAGGATAAGTCCAACGGAATCCTAACTTCTTGATTTTGATACTTCCTAAATTATAGATTATGTCATAGATCATCCAATCCCAACTTCCAAACCCTTTCTTTCTATCTATCTTTATCTGCACTTACCCCTCCCTCCCTCCCCTAAATGTCAACTCTTGCTAAGACCCTGGCGCGGGTCATAAAATAGATTCTCGTACTCTTACCACTGTGCCGTATAGTTTTCTTCAGGGCATCTGAAATGCATTTGAACAACAGTAAAAAGTGAATGTTTTGACACGGAGGAATAAAAAGTGAGCGTATGCAAAACAGAGGGAAGAGGAGAAAAAAAGGAAACTTCGCAGAGAGAATTACATCTTGAAATGCTCACAAAGGACTATGATCAAACCGGCATTCAATGCGGTCGTGTTCTAGATCGATTCATGTTCATATGACGAAAATGAGGTGACTTCAAAAATCCTTTCGCAAACCGTATCCATACGTCAGTTTTACATGTTAAATCGAGTCTCTTACTTTCCGTGCTCTTCTTGAATAAACTGTTTAAACACAGCGATTATATCGGATTTTACCTGCACCAGAAAGACTAACAGAACGCGGAACGGGCCACGCCTGKGAAAGAACCACAAAGCAAAGAAAACTTGCGGCCAAAATCTTCAACATTGTCGCAATGTAGTAGGAAGATAGAGCTGTTTTTCAGTCTCCCTCTATTGTAAAAGGGCACTTGCTTATATGTGTCCTGTCTCTGCTTTTAATTAAACGTTTAGGGGGCAATTCATACATCTCCCTCTCTGATTGTGAAGATTGCTAATTGTAATACTCTCAAGGTTGATTAATTTAATGCCTGAACTTTTAAATGTAATTTTTATGGTCTGGGTGGTCAAATTCCGAACATAATCTTGCTAAAATTTCTTTTAATATTCAAGCTTTTTGTAGCTTCTAAAAGAAAAATATTTCTTTAGTGGCAAGGTTCAAACTACRCGTTTTTAAAAATACAAGGTGTCCACTAAAAGATTTTAAGAATTAGAATCAACTTTAGATTTCCGGGTATTTTTTGCGAGAGAAGTAATGCAAAAATCGCCTCCTAATGCAAATATTAAGCTCAAACAAGGACTTGCGCACTAATGAACCATAGAAAATTCAATTTGGTCTGGAAGAATTAAGTTTGACGTTTGCCCCCAGGCCTAATTTTTTGGATATAGATTATGTTAGGTAGGAGGTAAGATTACAGTACGGCTGAAAGTAAAAAAAAAGAGTTGGTTAAACGTTGTATTACGTCTTATTTTCTTAATTACGCGAGAACTGAGAATTCTTCAAATAAAGAGAGGTATTTGTTTACCGAACGTCTTTTTGAAGTGAAAAAGCGAGGGACCACGATGTCGCGAATAATGAAAAGCAATGCATGTGGTTCTCAAGATCACAACTGTTTTCGTGGACAGAACTTCACCCGATTACACATTAAGATCTTGAGATGAAAATCCCTCCTTGGACATGTCTAGTGGACAAGTGCTTTCATACTGAGCATTTACACATTTAAAACTTTAATTACAGCAATTTAAAAAGGAATCCAGGGGTCGCTCTTACGAAGAATTAACAGAGAACCACTGAATAACTTATATAATATTCTATAAAGTTCTATAATAACTAACCTCAGTAGATTTTCTGTGAATTCAGTTGGTATTCTTCATGACCAGTACATGAAAGTAGGAATTTTGTCAATTTTGTTTTATAATTTTTTTTTTCAGTATACAACTTTAATTATTATTAAAGTCATGATATATCATCAGGCGCGTAGCGTGGACTTTTTGGCTAGCACGCACATGTCAGGGAGCGCCGACACATTTTGGATTATTGAAGCTAACGATCGCCCAATGCGGGAATATTAAGGGAGTGTGGGGGTCCTCCCCCACAATAATAACTCTTGGAAATGCGATTTCTAGGGTTTTCAGGGGCATCGAGAGCATATAAAAGGAATCAAAATCCCAAAAAATTAATATTTCCTTCCCACTAGTACGCACGTGTATGCGTAAAGGACGCTACGCGCCTGATTATATGCCACGTAAAAATAATTTTTGAACTTTATAATTTGAAAACTCCCTCGAAGGTAACATAGTCTAATGTACCTGTCAAAAGATGTGCTCGCCATGCTAGGACGCATTACAGTAATAATGCTGACTTAGGCAATTAATCAAGGATAAATTGATTTTGATATAGATTTTTTTTCGATTTACATTCAGTAAAAATTGTTGGCAAATGAGACAACTGCAAAGAGGTCTTTGGCTCAAAAACAATTGCACTTTTAAGTAAAAGTAGATGTATTTACCGCATAACAGCAGCGAGCCCTGAACGTTTTAAAAGAGGTGGCTTACTCAATAAAAAGTATTGAATGCCRCCTTGTGAAAAATGAATATTTATCTTTTAGATGAATACTACTTTACTTGTTTTTCGAAATTAGTCTCATTTAAATTTGTTTGTTCTATTTATTTCATGAATTCTTGTATATTTTGAACAATAAAACTTGGGTTTTGAAACGAAAAAAACAGATGAGATACAACGTTGAACCACAGTTAATGTACTATACGCAAACCAAAACTGAAAAAGCAATCAATATGATATATGTATAGCTTAACCGCCCTTAAACGGCAAGTATTTTCGGATACTGAAACTTAAGATTACATAGTAAAAACTTGAAGTGATGAAAATTTTTCAGGTACAAAACCCAATTGCCGTACGTTCAGAATAACACCTCAAAAGTGAATTTGAAGGAAAAAATAAACAAGGTTCCGGTTTTAAGAGATGATACTAATTTCCTCTGGTTTTCTTTATGTGTTTCTATATTCTATCTTTCATTTTATTTCTTCTCCATTTAAATATGTTTTTTTATGTTTTCCGCTTCTGTTTATTGTGTGACTATCTAGACACGAAAAAAGCGCCGCTTTATTTTGGGCTTCCTGTGGCATGTAGAGTCCTGGGAATCCCTGCCCGCAATGCACGTCGGACCAAAACAATATGGCGGCTCAAAACGCAAGAAAATTGCAGTCAATGTATCGACATTTTAGCTCTTCAGTTCGACCTAATGTTCTCTTAAAAGGTCTCCCAGTGTGTTCATCTACATTACGAAGGTCTGCATCATCGTTAAGTTACTTCAGYTCGACCAGRCAWAGGACATGGAAGARATTTGGWCAKYTTCCAGCAACTCCTCGCATCAATCGCATTCAAGGCAGGTTGCATAATACAATTAAAAACGTAGTTTAACCTTATATTGTTTTAAAATGTTGTTATTTTACAAAAGACGTTTATTTTTAAGTKTATTTTAATACAAAGCGCAAATTTTAAGTCCATGAATTAAGCTGCCGTGAATTGAGTTTGTGGGCAGGATGGGACGTTTGTGTTCCTAGAAAAGGTTTTTCTCCAAGCACGCTGGTTTTTCTCCATCTGTCGAAAGCTAGGAGTGCAAAAGGAGTGTTTGTTGTGTGGTTTGACATGTAAGAAAGTGTGGTACTTTGCGTTTGACTGTATCTAATATAGCTACTATTTTCCATTAGATTGTACTCTTCAATCACCAATGACATTGTTCACTGACAGCTTATCTCAATTTCAAAGTAATATTAGCAATTRAATAAAAATYAAAATATTAAAAAYCTTTACACAGCTCGCAGTATGTTTGTGCAAGTACAAGAAACACCCAATCCCAACAGTCTCAAGTTTGTTCCTGGTGTCCCAGTCCTTGAAACAGGAACAGTGAACTTTGACAGTATTAGTGCCAGCCATGGTTCACCCTTGGCTAGGTATGGTCTCTATTTCATGATTTATGTTTGCAATTTCTATGCTATGAAGAGCAAAACTACGCTATAGCTAAAACGAGTAGATTCAAACAAAGATTTTGCATTTCAAACTTGACAGCCTTTGCCCATAACTACATGTAGCTCAATCTGTTTGCATGGCAACCTATTGTATTGTATCGTTATTTCCCTAAAAAAGCCCAGATTTGCCTACACATTCATGTATAAAATACTTTTTAATCTTTAATTTCAGAAATCTGTTCAGAATATCTGGAATAAAGGGAGTTATGTTTGGCCCTGATTTCATAACAGTTACCAAGGTATAGTATATATTCCAATTTGTTTTCACAATAAAATTTTAATAATATATGAGCATAGCAATGATTTAAATCTTTGTTGTACTCTAGGCTGATGATGAAGTAGACTGGTCTCTTTTAAAACCAGACATCTTTGCCACAATAATGGATTTCTTTGCCAGTAATTTACCCATTCTGACTGATGAGCAGGCTCCTGCTGATACAGGTACGTTTCTCTTCTTGACTTACTGATGATAAATGCTTATTGGAAATTTAACAAAGTCTAACGCGGACATGACAAAAGAATTGTATCTTCCCCCCCCCCCCCCCCAGATCCTTTCCAGTTTCCCAATGGAAWATTGAATGCTCTAGCTGGAGACAAATTAGTCTTTGATTTTACTGGTTCAAAACTTTCCATATGCCTTATGTGTCTAGCCTGGTATCACCTCCATCCAGAGAGTTTGATTTTCTATTAGGAAATTAATGAGGGTCTGGGTAAGAGAGTGGTAATCACCCTTCCCCACTGGGCTAGGTCCATTTTTGTTAGAGTATCCTCTGATTTATTCTTTGATTCTAAGCTGTTGATGAAGATGATGACGAAACAGTAGCAATGATCAAAGAGCTTCTTGACACACGGATAAGGTATGTGAGATCAGCAGTAGATTCACCAAAATCATGCCACTTACTAGAAGAAAGCTTAGAAGTTGATTCACGCTTTCATGTTCACCAACCATCCTTGGAATCTGTTTTTTATGTTTTCTTGACAAAGGMGTTGTAGTTTTTTTGTTTAAAATTTTTGTGTGTGTATGTGTTTGTTATAAAAATTTGTTGAACTTGGTTAAAATGGTATCTTGTGATGTTCCTTTTGTTGTCTGCATTCTTGACTATTGTACATTGAGCATTTAAGTGCATTTGCAAAGATTAGTGATAATAATCAATGATGTACTTAAAAGTATGTCCAACAAATGGTTCTCACTGTTAGTGCATACTTGTATTGCAGGCCAACAGTACAAGAGGATGGTGGAGATATCATATTTGTAGTAAGTGAAAAATGTACTAATTCTCTAGAGGAAAACTTTCCTATTCATCCTTTATTTTTTGCATATTTTTAAAGGGGTTTGAAGATGGTGTTGTAAAGCTTAAAATGCAGGTATTGTTTTCAATATTAATGTCTTSTGTTAGTGGTTTTTCCCTTAATTCCTTTCTTCATCCCATAATCGTTGTTTAACTTCTTCCTTGCTTTCAACCTTTAGGAATTGTTCATTCTGAAATAGTCTTCTTTGCAGTTACCTGTGCCATGTTGAAAGGTAGCCGTGCCTTTACATCGAAGCGAGACAACCGTTGTGCGTGCAATGATAGAAACCTGTGAATAATTGTGTGTAGGTGTGAAAGAAGGTATCTATCATTGCACGCTCAACGGTCGTCTCGCTTYGATGCAAAAGTACAGCTACCTTTCAAGATGGCGCAGGGAACTGTGAAGAAGACTATTTTTTGATGTCTAGTAACGATTTGAATTTAATCAACGATTTTATAGATTGGGCTTCCTGTGGTCATTTGTGATTCATTTATTTAGTACTAGACTCAACTTCTGTTTGTTCCACAGGGTGCCTGTTCGTCATGCCCTAGTTCAGTCATCACTCTTAAGAATGGCATTGAAAACATGCTGCAGTTTTACGTACCAGAAGTGCTATCAGTGGARCAGGTATACCACCGTTTTTARCAWYTTACAGCTATTTATAAGGAAAKGTTGTCTGGGCGACTGAATTTGCACGGCCGAAAGTCAYYATGGGAATTGATTAGCCTCCTCCKCAGGCATCACTAAGAATCACGGGCTTCCTGTCTTTTTTTGGATTCAGAAGAGGGAGAATGTGGCGAGAGAGGGACACAAGGCATTCATTATTGATGAAAAGTTCACCGATGTTTTGTTTTGTTTTTTGTTTTTTTGTTTTTTTCACTGAATGAGGATCTTCATTGATGGTTTGTTTCGTTTGTCCTACGGGCTTGATTTTCAGCAGATGGTTAAACATTACTGACTTGAATCTGAATGCGGCTCGTAGTGACTTTCGGTTGTACAATTACCACAATTTTTGTGGCTAAAAATTCATGCAATATAGTTTGAGTTTTATCYAGCGTTTACTCGTAAAATAATCCGGATATACGCAGGCTAACGCAATTTATTATATAGATGAATTCTAATGCGCGCTCTGATTGGCCAAAAAAGTGTGGTTTATGAGAGTATAAACCACGATTGTGCTCAAAAAAGATTTTGCTCAAAATCTATATAATAAAACAAGTTTCAGCTCGTCCTTCTTGACATTTTCTCGTGTGTTTCAAATGCCAAGCGTGCGTTTATCAGAATGAACCACGGCTGAGCCTTATTTATTTGTTAAATAGCTYACACAACTATTCGTCTAAAAATAAAGGGCACAGATTTCCCGACTGTGTGCTCTATTATTTAAAAAATCTGAATGAYTGAGATTTTCGTTCTGCTTTTCCCATTCCACACCAAAGAAAATCCATTAAGAGGGTGCCGGGTAGCTTAGGGAAGTAAAAGATTTCGATCATTTTTTGGAAAACTTTTTCCTCATTTTTTTCCAGGTTGAAGACGAAACAGACAAAGTATCTCAATCGGAATTTGAAAAATTTGAAGAAAAGCTGAAAAAGGATGTTAAAGAGGACTAAAACTATTGACAAGAAAAAAGAAAAATGTGAATGGAAATATCATTGCGAAAAAGTGGGAAAGTGAAAAATGGGAGGAAAGGAYAAACATGTCGCTTTGGCCAAATGTTATCATGAGGAGTTTGATTTRAAAGAGTTAAAAAACATTGTTGGTCGTTTATGCGAGTGGCCTTAAAGGTCCTTAAAGGTTTCGAACAGTAGATATATTAACCAGATATTTAAAGAGATAGTTCATCGGGAAAAATTCTTTAAGAACTTAAACGCTGAGTATTTTAGCATAAGAAACATAATTCCCCATAAAAAACCTTCCGGCCATGGGAATAAACTTGACTTTTACTATTAAATTTTTGTTTCTTTCAAAAACACTCATGTTTTTCAATATTTTTCTTGTGGTGTATTTGTTGTAACAGCTTGTTTCTTTCTCTTGAACTTATTATCTACGCTATTTGACAAACTGTCGACAAAATTTGAATAGAAATGAACGCGATGTTTACCGAGATCCTTGAGATTTGTCTTGTTCTTTTGATCTAGCTTAAATATCAGAGGCACTTATTACAATGTTTGTGAAAGACGGAAACACGRTTTTTGTCCGGATTCAATTATTGTGACCTGTATTGCATTACAGCGTAGAGTCCATTTTCATTTAATTAGCTAGAGATGGCTACTGTCCATGATGTCATTACAATAAAACCCTTATAAAGATATTTTCTTATCATTTTAGATTATTATWTTACAAGGTAATATGATTTTGCTTTTCCGTGTCAACCGTTTCATTTCCGAGAAAGCAAATTTACCTAATTAACATTGTAAATTTAAGACGCCGAGAGGAATATTTTTAGCACATGCATTGTTGATATTGCTGCTAAGGTTTTTTGGGAGTTCGTAAGGAGATCAGGCGGGACTTTGTGCTATTGACTGGCAAGGCCTTCCAGAAACCCTTCTCGTTGACCTTATAGAAGCTGATATCTCTTCTACYTCGTAACGAAAATTCCCACAAGTAATRATGCTCTTCAGGGCCTTCCTATACGCTCCCAGCCTCCAGCAATATAAAAACGGGTCAAGAGCGAACTTCAAGAGGAGTATCACACTACTTACTTCTCTTGCAATTAGTAGACTATCTCTGTCCATTTTGGACAGGTCTRTGTAGTTATAAATTGAGTATAAAATTGTTGAAGGCAGCGTGCATACAAYGATAAATATGACCAGCACCAATGCTATGACTGTRAATTGTTTCTGCGACCGTCTTCTTTGTCCTGTGGTCCTATGGAATGAGCCTCCAAGGCCCTCATTGGTCACAGCCCTGATTCGTGAAGCTTGTCTCCTAAAAGCTACTAATAAGCATGTATAAGCGATAACTAAAAGCAAAATAAAGGCACAGTTGTGGGCATAAAAGTCAATACGATATATWATCTCTTTTTTAACTCCAARAACAGGCAGCAACGCGAAGAAAATTGAGTAYATCCATGCAGACAGYACGCTTATGGTAACTCTTCTTGCTGTAACTAAATGTCTATGTTTATGAGGAAAGCGCGTAGCAATAAACTGATTCCATGTTAAACAGAGTAAAACCAGATATGAAGCGTTCATAGTAATCAAAGACATWGTCTCGACAAATTTAGCAATTATGTGAAAAGAGTCGGTACGTGACGAATACTGCGAATAAGGCGCAATGCTCATAGCAAATCTGATATATGYGATGAACGGACCAACAAGAACTCCCGTCAAAAAGTCCGCAAMTGTTAATCCAAATACGAAAATAGTTGACGGAATCAGTCTGAACTTTCTGTGCGGGTCTTTCCATAGTGCTAGCAGGAGAAGGCCATTGGCAGTTGTCGTGATGAAGGATAAAACAGCAATGCATAAACCAGAAACGTAAAACATGTCGCTTACACTAATTGAATATTCATTGCGGAATTGTGCTGAGTTCCAAGTTGAATGAGGAGTTGCGCTTAGATTTTGAGAGATATTTAACACATCCATTGCTGTGACGCCGAGCTGAACTTTTACAAACGCTGTCTCCAAAGCTAGGATTGTASGAAACGTTTTCCTTTTTTGAAGTGGGTCAACTTCGGGAAGATKTACACACTCTTGTTGTAAGCGAAACTTTCTTTACAAAAAGCTTGTTGTTGTAGCTTTAGAAGTGAGGAGACCTTAGGCGGCTGCCTCGACGAAGTTTCGAAGAGTTTCCAAGATYGATAGTGATGAAATGTTGTATTTTGAACTAGGTAATTCAATTTTCCTCTGAAAAGGTGTGGAAATCTCGAATAGTTTGCCACAGTCCAAGATGAACTTAACTTCAATCAAGCTCCTCACTCTTTTGTTTTAATTATTACTATTATTGTAGGAGTACCAAAAATAGTGAATTTTACAGAAACTTGGACGCCAAGAGAGGTTGTGAAACACGCGAGCAATTACWCAAAGCGCTCCACTGACAAGCCTCCGCATCATTTAGTCCATTTATGCTCAGAGTGAAATGAAATACCAACCCATTCTCCATCTGTGTAAATGAATATTTCATCCTAAATCGACTTTCTGTCAATACATGGGGCCAATTTTCAGACTAGTTTCTTGTAAACAGTAGTACAATGTAAATATGTGGCTAATTTTCAGAATTGTGAAATGGCAAACAGTGAAGGTGAATATAAATCAACAACAATCTTTGTGAATGTGCTTCAAGGTGTTTTGAAAACCTGTATACTACTTTATATTACATGTAAATACAAAAGTAGAACATGCATGACAATGCTCTACAAAACCCCAACTTGCAGCTTAATTTACACCTACTTGCGAAAACCTTGTCATAGAAAGTAGGACATTTGTATTTAGGAAAAAGGAATAAATTAAAACAGACAAAAGAAGATCACTGAGGCTGAACGCTTTCTTTTGTCTTGTTTTAATTTATTCCTTTTTGCTAAATTCAAATGTTCTATTTTCTATGACAACGTTTCTGCAAGTAGGTGTATATCTTTGTTTCACTGCAACGTTTCGGCAATTTGGCATTTTTCAGCAAATGTAAAAATAAGTACCTAAAATAAGTACTATTCAATTTGAAAAGAAAAATAAGAAAAGGTGAATATTCACCAAGCTTGTGAACTCTTAACTTTTCGTCACTGTATACTTATGACCATTTATCAAATAAAAAATGTCGACGCCATTATAATCCAAGATGGCGGCCGTCACATCAAAATGTTGCACGACAAAACTTAATGTGCAAACGAGCAACAAACATCAATTTTGTTGCAGAAAGGTCACGATCTACTTTTCACGCCAAATCTGCAATTGCATTAGATTTTATTGTTGTGTATGAATTATATGATTAATCGCGTGCCTAAAATAACAGAAACCAATCTTGATATGGGACATCTTGGATGCTTTCTCGTATAATTTCACCGTCTTTTCTCGCTGACTAATATGTCGTATAGTCGTAGGATTGTACCGATGAGAACCGTGTGAAAATGGCATCTGTATTTATAAAAACAAAGTCACTTAACAAATACAAGAGCATTTAGAGGCTTCAATGATAGCAAAGTTGTCATCGATCCTTTAGAATACTTTTGCGACATTKATTCTGGGGCGAGATTTATCTAGAGAGGTCTGGGAACGAGCSAAATAACGGCTGCGAAAAATTGGCAAAATGCAGTGCAAATTTAATGTAGACTAACGAATCGTATCGATAAGGTACAAAGCTGAATATTCCGGGCTTTTGAATGAGGTCAGCCCTTTATATCTTCGCTGTTTTTCAGTTGAAGGTATACTTGCATTGGTTTTGGGAGTGTTTAGAAGTACACCATTTCGACATTCTCACTCAAGATGAGTCATTTTTTATGGAACATTAAGCTCTACAAGAAAGATTATGGTTTCTCCGCCTTGTTTCTTTGTTTTTCCCAGCTTGCATGACTAAGACAGGCTTTGAGATAGTTGTACGTTTGTAATTAGCCGTTTCTAATATCTGCTGTCTGGAGTTTATTGTAATGCATATTGCCTAGTCAAGACCTCACTGGGAGAAGCCGCGACGGGGTCTGTTCTTCTAAACAACTGTTCTTGTACAATTTTTTTCCTGGGAAAGGAATTTTGAGCTACAATGTTGACAATCTCACAAGCAAATGTGTCACCCTTTCTTCTTTAAAATGATTTTGTTCCTGGCAAACGTTTTTAACGTCAAAAAAGGATTATATTGCTTTAAAGTTAGGAATTTTTTATTTTCCTGGCAAAAATTCTAAGAAAGTATTGAATTCCTTGCCTGGAGAGTTCTTTTTTCCTAAATTTCTCGCTGGCAAACATTTGTGACTTACATGCAGCTCTGGCTGGGACATAAGAACAGATATATTTCTTCTAATAATTTCCTAATACATACGAAGAAAATGGGAAATTACTAAGTGTTTTAAATGTTATACTGATGATATTTGTAAACGATTGTTTTCTCCGCGCCTTATTGGTAGGAAACGTTACGTTTTTAATAAGTCTAAGTGTTGGTTTGAGTCCGTTAAACAAATTTACACATATATTGTTCTTTTCTCGTGGTTCTTTTGTGTGTTGATCAAAGGGTCGGAAATCATAATAAACTCCTCGAAGTCAGTTTTACGCAACTGAGGCTTGGGAATTACAGCTCAAAAAAATGAAGAAAAATATCAGACAGTATAAAATGATAGTTTAATGAAAGAACGATTTACTTTCGCTTCGTGGAAGAGCTTTAGAAGGAAGTATATCCCAAAAATAAGAATAAACAAGGCATTTTTTAGTACTTTCTTGTACTTTCTTTGTTGAAGGTGCTAAAGACGTCATYTTGAAAAGCTGTTTTATTGTGACACTGTCTTCAGTCTTTTGACATGCATCATTCAGCTGAAAATCCGTTTTGAAAATGCAACGGACCATGAAAAACTATCTACATAACCGTTACACAAATCCATGCAAGCTTGTTCGTTAAAAATGCTTGAATTTCACTGGCCAAAACTATGGAASGCGTCCTTAACCAGAGCACGTATAAAGAGCAGCACTCGGTCAAATTATTACAGTTTGCAATCAGTCAGAGAGGAGAAAACTTCTTGTAAAATCACTAGACACTTTTAGACTCGAAAAGTAACTTAACATGGAAAAGGTTTTGGTTTTGGTTTTCTTCTGCTTAGTTGCGAGTTCTTGCGCATTCAAGATTTTAAACGAGGACGAAGTACAAGAAAAAAGATCGCCATTCAGAAATGGTAAAACCTCAACACTAACTTTTGGCGCTAACGTTAGAATGTCCGTTATATTGCCGAGTTTAACTTGACAAATCTGAATGTCAATTAATCTTAAAATATTCAACTTAAGCGTTTTATGTTTACTTTTTTTTAGATTTTCTGAGTGCAATGGTTGAAGGTAAGTTTACATTTTTGCAGCGCTTGTCGCATGCATGTGTTATACCTTTTCAAAGGAAACAGTCGCTGGCCAGCTACATGGGTCGTTTCGAAACAGAGAAAAGATGTTTTTAACTTTGTATGAAAACCGACATATGATCTACAAAGCAATTTGMTTAACATTATTTTGTTTCTAAAACAGATGACGAGCCAGAAGCCGTTGATAACACCTATCGCCTGTTGGATGCTATCGTTCTAGATGAATGTAAGTGAAATCCACTTAAAGTTATGCAATTTTATTTATAACTGTTTATTAATGAGAGGTTTGTTTACTCGAGGCTGTTGGCTTGATATCTGGTTCATATCATTTTTGTGTATAATTTATCGTTTATAGCTATTGTAATGGGTGGRAAAGTCGAATGGTTCTATGGAAAAGGACAGAAAGAATTGGTACGTACAATAAAGATATTTGCAATTTTATTCTATTTATATACAGTATCATAGTGCTAGACACGACTAGAGAGCTTCTTCTGCATAATTGATTCATATCTTGACAATTCAATTTTAGTGTATGGATGGAGAGAAAGAGCTRGAGCCWAAATGCAGATGGAGAGGWCTTGTTGTCGARGATAAAGACAAAATTCCASAGAAAGTACGCCTTCAAGTGATTAAGAAATATTGTAAACGTGCCAATTTGAAATGGCCTGGAGTYAAGAAAGTTAAATGTTAAAAAATTATTTGTGTATGTCCCTTATGTATATGCTAGTGTCGCTGTATCATTAGTTCACTTTGTACAAACTCGCTATTATATATTACACAAGCATTGTAAAATAAGTGTTTTATGGTTATAATAAAGACTACTTTCAAGAAAATTTGTTGTCAAATATTGTCAATGGGGTATTATAGATTCATAAAATGTATGAATTAATGAAGGATGGATTGGTAGAGGGAAGGAGGGAGGGAGGAAGGGAGGTAGAGAGGGGGGAGGAATAGAGGGAGAAGGTGGAGGGAGGGAGGAATGAAGGGAGAAGGGAGAGGGAGGGATTGATGGAAGAGGTATTTAAAAGGATGACTGTACCGTACCTTCTTGGAAGGTTGTCGTTCCCATTTCTTTGTAATTATTTTCATTTTAATAGATTATTTCATATGATTTTGATATACAATGCATCTTTCAATGCTATCATCCTTTATTTCCCTCAAAGCTCCTTAAACATACCATAATTTTTTACAGAAATATAGTWCCCAGTKTCGAATTCTCTTCTGTGCAAACTTARATTYAATTAATCATAGATTTGTATTGTCWTCTTTGTACACAKGGTGTCTGCATTACAATAGGTAATACATAAGTAATTACATAAGTAATTATATGATAAACAGAATATTACATGGTCGCTTGGGGACGAATTTTATCTTCTCGTGTTGAAAATCTCTTTTCAACACTCGAATATATAAAATCCGTATATCCGCGCGCCCATAATATCCTCTATATTACATACTTTCGAGGTTAAGGCTGCACAATTAAGAATCGAAAAACTGCAGTTCAAGATGTCGTCCTTTTCATCTACCTATTCACTGCGAGAGATACGGCATTGTTCTGCGATAGTCGAACGGATGTCTTTCTGCCGTCCGCACCCTCTATGGCTGACTTCATGCTCATCACAAAAACATGCGGTTCTACAGATGTTTTCACACACGGCATGATCATCTTCAAAGCTTTCCTGTACGAAACTAGCCGCCAGCAATAGACAAACGGGTCCAAGGCAAACTTTAGGAATAAAATATCACTGCTTATCTCACGAGCTACAAGAAATGTTATCCCTTTATTGTTACGATGCTCGTTAAAATATACCCTGACACACTGAAGCACAGTCGAGGGAAGCGTACAGATGATAACAAACATGCCCAGCACCAATGTCACAATAGTAAATTGACGTTCAGATCGCCGTCGTATTCGCATCGATTCGCGCCTTTCCGTTTCCGTGCAGCGTTCCGTGGTGACGGCTACGATGCGTTGAATCTGCGTTTTATACGCTGCGTAAAGGCAGCAGTACGCAACCGTAAGCAAAATCAGGAACACTAACGTGTGAACGTAGAAGTCGAYCTTCAGGAGCGTTTGGTATTGGATGAAGAACTGRAGCGAAGAGAAGAATATCACGTAAATCCATACGGMAATKACACAYGCTGCAACCTTTCTACTTGTCARCATWACTCGGTGCTTGTGAGGGAAGTGTATTGCAGAAAACTGTGACCATGTGAGAAACAGTAATATCAAGTACGAAGCGTTCATGGTCAGGAAGGAYACTTTTTTAATGGCTTTGGCAGAGAGCAGTGTATCGTYAACCTCACAACAACTTCTCTCCTCTCTGCTTAAGTATGTCGCTAATCTGATGTGCACAAACATTGGAGCTACAACGGCTCCTGTAAGAAAGTCTGCTACTGCAAGCCCGACGACAAACACTGTTGGYGGGATGCGGAATGAGTGATAGGGGTCTTTCCATATCGCAACGAGAAGAAGACCGTTCCCTATGACCGTGAAGATGGCGAGTATACTAACAATGATGCCAGAGAATAGCAATATTGAGCAAATYATGCTCGAAGATGGAATGTCGGTTGATGTTTCGTCCGTCGGAAAACTCAAGTTGCTTCCCATTTGGCTCGACATTGTTTGAGATGCTGAGTTGACTAGCTGGAATTTGACTTATTGATCATATATCACCGCTTTGTACTTTTTTAAATGTTTTTGCTTTGCTAGTGTCTTGCTTGTCGTATTCCTTAAACTGTTTTTTCCTTATTTTTTTGCTCTTCTTTATTCAAAGTCAGTCCTGCCGATTTCTTGATTTCATTGTTTCTTCTTTATAAAAAAAACTTGGTATAATTGATTAATTTGGAATTTAATCAGATGATTCGGCTACTCGTGGCGCGTATTTTTTGATTGTCAAGCTTTCCAAGCTCAATCCTTGAATAATGTTTAAAAAATATRTTATGTCGATCACGTCAAAGTAAAATTTCTTCGAAAGATTCCTTCGTACTTCATCGCTTCACACCTAGTACTCGTTGTTTTCTTACCTAATTCAAAATCGTATGAATCCTTTCGCCTTCCTTATTATAATTAGCAACTGAATGGCGTTTGCCGATTTCTAGATCCAATTTGTAATTGATTAATGAGCTTTTCTCTTCAAATAATAYCTTGTCAGCTCTCTTGAAATTGTCCGCTGTTGTGATTCTTATCAGTTCAGTTCGTGTTCTCCTTTTTCAGTCGCAGACATCGGGAGGAGCTCTGTGTTTCTGCCAAGCCTCGCACGTATTTTTATAACCAATTAATGGCATGCTTTGTTGAGTTATAATATCAAGAATAAGAGTTTAATTTTAGACTCTTTGTAACATAATAGTCTTTCTTTATTCGACGAACGATTTTATTTATATATTGTGTATGTTTTCATATCAATTTCTTTCCCCTCTATAGACCGCTATTTACTCTAACTATAGACTCATATCCTTCTTAATTCAAATGGATTATTTTTCATAATTTTCTATTCATAACATTGTCTTCTATTCAGATCAACATGTCAACTTTTTGTCATTTGCGCAAGATCAATTTTCTACACTGTATATGTTTGCTGTCAATAGCCATTCAGTTTTCGTTTGTATATATGCTCTCTAAATTTCAATAAGYTCTTTTWCATCGYTTTAAAATTCATTTTGAAGTCAGTAAAAACAACGACRACAACAACCAYCACCASCAGACATTTTTTGTAACAATTTTTTCATCTCATTTTCCCCAGCTTCTTGTAATTCACTCTTTCCGGTGTTTTCCCATGATCTTCAGTTCTCCAAATACTSTGSCACTTGTCAAAGCCTTCATCAAACAAAACCTAACTCTCATATTATATTGCGTGTTCGATTTT